TTAAAAGGAGCTTGAAAGTGTTTAAAAGGAGCTTGAAAGTGTTTTAAAAGGTGCTTGAAAGTGTTTAAAAGGAGCTTGAGAGTGTTTAAAAGGAGCTTGAAAGTGTTTAAAAGGTGCTTGAAAGTGTTTAAAAGGAGCTTGAGTGTTTTAAAGGAGCTTGAAAGTGTTTTAAAGGAGCTTGAAAGTGTTTAAAAGGAGCTTGAATGTGTTTAAAATGAGCTTGAAAGTGTTTAAAAGGTGCTTGAAAGTGTTTAAAGGGTGCTTGAAAGTGTTTAAAAGGAGCTTGAGAGTGTTTAAAAGGTGTTTGAGAGTGTTTAAAAGGTGCTTGAAAGTGTTTAAAAGGAGCTTGAGTGTTTAAAAGGAGCTTGAAAGTGTTTAAAATGAGCTTGAAAGTGTTTAAAAGGAGCTTGAAAGTGTTTAAAATGAGCTTGAAAGTGTTTAAAATGAGCTTGAAAGTGTTTAAAAGGTGCTTGAAAGTGTTTAAAAGGAGCTTGAGAGTGTTTAAAAGGTGCTTGAAAGTGTTTAAAAGGTGCTTGAAAGTGTTTAAAAGGTGCTTGAAAGTGTTTAAAAGGCTTGAGTGTTTAAAAGGTGTTTGAAAGTGTTTAAAAGGAGCTTGAGAGTGTTTAAAAGGAGCTTGAAAGTGTTTAAAAGGTGCTTGAAAGTGTTTAAAAGGAGCTTGAAAGTGTTTTAAAAGGTGCTTGAAAGTGTTTAAAAGGAGCTTGAAAGTGTTTAAAAGGTGTTTGAGCTTGAGAGTGTTTTAAAAGGTGCTTGAAAGTGTTTAAAAGGAGCTTGAAAGTGTTTTAAAAGGTGCTTGAAAGTGTTTAAAAGGAGCTTGAAAGTGTTTTAAAATGAGCTTGAAAGTGTTTAAAGGAGCTTGAAAGTGTTTAAAATGAGCTTGAAAGTGTTTAAAATGAGCTTGAAAGTGTTTTAAAAGGTGCTTGAAAGTGTTTAAAAGGAGCTTGAGAGTGTTTTAAAAGGTGCTTGAAAGTGTTTAAAAGGTGCTTGAAAGTGTTTTAAAAGGAGCTTGAGAGTGTTTAAAAGGTGTTTGAAAGTGTTTAAAAGGAGCTTGAAAGTGTTTAAAAGGAGCTTGAAAGTGTTTTAAAAGGTGCTTGAAAGTGTTTTAAAAGGAGCTTGAAAGTGTTTTAAAAGGTGCTTGAAAGTGTTTAAAAGGAGCTTGAAAGTGTTTTAAAAGGTGTTTGAAAGTGTTTAAAAGGAGCTTGAGAGTGTTTAAAATGAGCTTGAAAGTGTTTAAAATGAGCTTGAAAGTGTTTAAAATTAGCTTGAAAGTGTTTAAAAGGTGCTTGAAAGTGTTTAAAATGAGCTTGAAAGTGTTTAAAATGAGCTTGAAAGTGTTTAAAATTAGCTTGAAAGTGTTTAAAAGGTGCTTGAAAGTGTTTAAAAGGTGCTTGAAAGTGTTTAAAAGGAGCTTGAAAGTGTTTAAAAGGAGCTTGAAAGTGTTTAAAAGGAGCTTGAAAGTGTTTTAAAAGGTGCTTGAAAGTGTTTAAAAGGAGCTTGAAAGTGTTTTAAAAGGAGCTTGAAAGTGTTTAAAAGGAGCTTGAAAGTGTTTTAAAGGAGCTTGAGAGTGTTTTAAAGGAGCTTGAGAGTGTTTTAAAGGAGCTTGAGAGTGTTTAAAAGGAGCTTGAGAGTGTTTAAAGGTGCTTGAAAGTGTTTAAAAGGTGCTTGAGAGTGTTTTAAAGGAGCTTGAGAGTGTTTTAAAGGAGCTTGAGAGTGTTTAAAGGTGCTTGAAAGTGTTTAAAAGGTGCTTGAAAGTGTTTAAAAGGAGCTTGAGAGTGTTTAAAAGGTGCTTGAAAGTGTTTAAAAGGTGCTTGAAAGTGTTTATAAGGAGCTTGAGAGTGTTTTAAAGGAGCTTGAGAGTGTTTAAAAGGAGCTTGAGAGTGTTTTAAAGGAGCTTGAGAGTGTTTAAAAGGAGCTTGAAAGTGTTTAAAAGGTGCTTGAATCCCCTCAGATCGATAAGGAGCTGGTGCTGCTGAGCGTGCTGAAGGAGCCGGTCAGTCGCTCCATCTTCGACTACGCCCTGCGATCCAAAGACATCGCCAGCCTCTTCCGCCACCTGCTGCTGAGACAGAAGAAACGAGCCGGATCCATCCCAGAATGCCCGGCGGCAGAGGACCCCGCCATCGCTCAGATGCTGAAGAAGCTGCTCTCACAGGTGGGTCCGTAGAACACCTAACCCAGTTTAGATCCAATCAAACCAACTTTATTTGTATAGCCCAATTTCACAAATCACGTTTGTCTCGGTGGCTACAGAAGAACAGCATTGTTTATGATGGAGTTCCAGCAACATGAGAAGACAAGATGAATACAATACAAATAGAAATAAAATAACATGCAACAAAAGACAATACAGATACATAAGACTTTCAAATGAATTACCATCAATATCAAATCAAACGAATGCCATAAAATGCCAGCTGTAACTGAAGGCTTTGTTAAAAATGTAGGTCTTCAAAGCACTCTGAAACGTTCGGACCCCCTCGGCCTCTGATTGAAACAGGAAGTTGGTTCCAGAGAAAGGGAATGCTCTGACTCTTGATCTAAGTTTAGCAAATGGCTAAACAACGGCTTGGCTGAATTGGATGGTTCTGGAGGTTATTGAGGACGCTGAATCCATTTCTGACATTTTCAGGATCAACAATTGCAGTTCAAACCAGAAAGTGGCCATATCTGTTCTCTGTGGACTGATTTCTGGTTGATTCTAAAGTTTTAAAGGACTCCAAACCTCCATTTTTACCTCCAGAACCTCCAAAACGTTCAGTACTCAGACTCAAATACTGGCTGCCCATTGGTTGAGAGGAGGATGTGGCTCAGTGCGTTGATCTTTGGATCCAGGGGGCACTGGTTCAAATCCCAAGACACTTAATTAACATTCACTCAGCTCTGCATAACTGTGATCTAACTCGAACCACAGGGGGTCTCATCCTGCTTAACACACACACACACACACACACACACACACACACACACACACACACACACACACACACTGCTCTGAACTTTGATGTGTTGTGTCTTGACCTGAAGTGACTCATTACGGTCTAATTAAAGGCTGCTGCTGCTGCTGTGTGTGTGTGTGTGTGTGTGTGTGTGTGTGTGTGTGTGTGTGTGTGTGTGTGTGTGTGTGTGTGTGTGTGTGTGTGTGTGTGTGTGTGTGTGTGTGTGTGTGTGTGTGTGTGTGTGTGTGTGTGTGTGTGTGTGTGTGTGTGTGTGTGTGTGTGTGTGTGTGTGTGTGTGTGTGTGTGTGTGTGTGTGTGTGTGTGTGTGTGTGTGTGTGTGTGTGTTAATTGATGGGAAAATGGTTGGTTGAAGGATAACATTAAGTCTAATAATGATAATGGTGTGTGAGAGATACTGTCTACATGTTGTTTTGATTGAGTCCATGTGTGTGTGTGTGTGAGAGATACTGTCTACATGTTGTTTTGATTGAGTCCATGTGTGTGTGTGTGTGAGAGATACTGTCTACATGTTGTTTTGATTGAGTCCGTGTGTCATCAGGTCTCAGTGCTGCACAGAGAAGCAGCTGAATGGTTTTAAATACTTCCTCAGAATGAACACACACTGTCTTCCGCCGTGTGTTCGACATCAAGAACACGCTGGCTTTGAAAACTGAATCAAACATCCCCGTCGGTTTGATGGATGTCTCGTAAAAGCTGGAAAATACATTCAGTGTCTGGGAAATTAGTTACTTTAAAGTTCTGAGGAAAAACCACAAGCATGCTTCACACATGTGCTCTATTCACAAATCACACAGTCGCTCCGTTTGACTTTAACAGATTACAAATGGAATAAAATATGCATATTAATATCGGTTAAAGTCGAATGTCCAATACAATATTTTTTAAATACAAATATTTGAATAAATAAAAGGAGTTGAAGGAAATTGTCTAAACTAAATAAAAAAAGTGTATATTAATATAAAAAGTAAAATATCCAATAAAAGGTTAAAAAAAATTATATATATTGATATAAACATAATAAAATAAAAATGTTTAATAAAAGAAAGAAAGAGTGCATTAAAATAAATAAATGGTTATTGCCAACAGCTGCAGCGTTATTATTCACAATTAGAATCATGCAATAATCCCTCGTGCAATTGACGCTTTATTGTACTTTTCTATCTGGAAACAGTACCGGCTGCTTCTATATTTGTAAACCGTTTGGTTTTTACATAACGTGTGCTTTCTATATTATATAAGTCTCTACGGTTGTTGATATCTTGTTTTAACAGTTACCATATTTGTCTGTTTACCTCGTGTGAATCTGTGCTGTTGTTCACGCTCACCCGGCTGCTGCCATGCCGATAAGGGAAGGTGCTTCTTATCTCAAATGTCCCCGTTGAGACAAAGTGGTTCTGATCACATCTCGTCCTCCGGCCCCTCTGATTCTGTGTTGCTTTATTCCGCTTTATAAGACATAAGACTAGGGATGGGTCCCGGGCCCCGGGGCGGAATTATTAAAGCCGTGCTGCCGTTAAGCTCCAACGTTATCGGTCTTTTTATCGGTACTGGAGACATTTAAAACATATATGTCGTGTATTATTGCTACACAAACATTATCTCGCAGTCTTAGTTTCGCCAACTCCGTTTCTAATACGCAAAAAGACAACAAAATACTAATATGATGTATTTTCGATCTTTCTAATCCAGACGAGATCTCTCTCCCGTCTGTGTGTGAGGGGGCGGGGCGGTTTACACACAAGGCTGCTACATGCAACACACACACACACACACACACACACACACACACACACACACACACACACACACACACACATACACACACATACACACACATACACACACACACACGGCGGAGAGAACGCGCTCCGAGGTCTCGATGTGGACGATGCTCGTTGCCTAAAGCACAATAAGAGTTTAGCATGTGAGGGCGGTAACACGAGTAGTTTGTCTAAACATTTATCAAAAGTGCTCCACATCCAGACGGAGGAATGCACCGGCTGTCTTTCTAGCAGCTCTGTAGCCCCGTCCACGAGCAACGTTTTTTACAGTTCTGTAAGTTCACATTATTTACAATTTGTTTACTTTTTTCTCAAAAGAACCGATAAGAGTACCGTTAAAGGACCGGATCGATACAAGTAGCAGTACCGTTAAAACCTTAACGTACCCACCCCTACATAAGACATGAGATGGAACTTCTCCTCTTGGGGAAATGCAGGCGTTCATAGCCGCAACAGGTTCAGAGTGAAACTCAGGATCCACAGATCAAATAGAATACAAATTAAAATGATAATACAGCAAAGACAAAGTGATAAAGTCACTATTGTTGAGTTGATGTGTTTATCGTGTCGTGGACAGTCCCCATTGATCAACTGTCACATGGAGCAGCTTGAGCCAACATGGCTGATTTCCAGCTGTTGTCCAGATGATAAAAGAAACCTTTTAAATCACAATGCATCAGGATATCACCGTAAAGACGTTTGTATGAACGCGTTAAATATATTTACATAAATATTCCAATTACTGTATATAGACTATTCTGCACTGTTTCTATTATATTCTGTTTTATTTGTATTTACTGCACTATTATCTGTGTTATTGTGTTGCTCTGTTGGAGGAGGAGCCTAAGATTGTCATTGATATATAACTACACTGTAGCTGTGCACACACGACAATAAAAGCCTTTGAACTTGAATACATGTGCAGGTGTTTTCAAGATTCAAGGGTTTTCCGGTCGGAAACAGTTCTAAATTGGTTTGAATCCTACTTAAAGGACAGAAACAACTTTGTTTCTATAGGTAAATACACATCTGAGTTGACAAATATGACATGTGGGGTTCCTCAAGGCTCCATCTTGGGGCCTCTTCTCTTTAACGTCTACATGCTACCACTGGCTCAGATAATGAAGAACAACAAAATAAGTTACCATAGCTATGCAGATGACACACACATTTACGTAACAATTTCACCAGGAGACTATGCTCCAATTCAAACACTGAGTAAGTGCATTGAACACATCAATGACTGGATGTGTCAGAACTTTCTCCAATTAAACAAAGGTAAAACTGAGGTAATGGTTTTTGGAGCCAAGTCAGAACGTATAAAAGTTAGCGCTGAGCTTCAGTGTGCAATGTTCAAAACAACAGATAAAGCCAGAAATCTAGGTGTAGTCATGGACTCTGACCTGAGTTTCAACAGTCACATTAAAACAGTTACTAAATCAGCCTACTATCACCTAAAGAATATATCTAGGATTAAAAGACTAATGTCACAGCAGGATTTGGAAAAACTTGTCCATGCTTTTATCTTCAGTAGACTCGACTACTGCAATGGTGTCTTCACAGGTCTCACTAAAAAATCTATTAGGAAGCTGCAGCTGATTCAGAACGCTGCTGCTCGAGTCCTCACTAACACTAACACATCACTCCTGTTCTGAAGTCTTTACACTGGCTTCCTGTGTGTCAAAGAATAGATTTCTAAATACTGCTGCTGGTTTATAAAGCACTGAATGGTTTAGGCCCAAAATACATTTCTGACCTCCTGCTAAATGATGAACCATCCAGATCTCTCAGGTCTTCAGGGACTGGTCAGCTTTCTGTCCCCAGAGTCAGAACTAAACATGGAGAAGCAGCGTTCAGTTATTATGCTCCAAATATCTGGAACAAACTCCCAGAAACCTGCAGGTCCGCTGCAACTCTGACTACTTTTAAATCCAGGCTGAAGACTTTTCTTTTTGTGGCTGCTTTTAATTGAACTATTCATATCTTAGACTGCACTGTAACTTTTATCCATGTACTTTTTCTTTTAATGTTTATTTTATTAGCTTTTCTTTTTAATGACTGATTTTAAATGCCCTTTTCTTAATGTCTTTCATTTTTTGTAAAGCACTTTGAATTGCCTTGTGTTGAAAAGTGCCATATAAATTGCCTTGCCTTGCCTTGCCTTGCCTTGCCTTGCCTTGCCTTGCCTTGCCTTGCCTTGCCTTGCCTTGCCTTGCCTTGCCTTGCCTTGCCTTGCCTTGCCTTGCCTTGCCTTGCCATGCCATGTGTGCACAGCTACAGTTATGACTAAAGTCCCAAGCTCCTCCCACAGAGCAACACAATAACACAGATAAAATAGTGCAGGTAATACAATCAAATAGAAGTAGTGCCATAAGAGTGTATATCCACAACGTGTGAGCAGCAGCCAGGTGAATGTTCTGGATGCCCAGGTGAATGTTCTGGATGCCCAGGTGAATGTTCTGGATGCCCAGGTGTGCGTCAGTCTCCCTGTGGGAGGAGAGTAAAGGGTTGTTTGTGTTTTGGGTGCAGGGGATGACGGAGCCGGAGGAAGACAAGCTGCTGGCGCTCAAAGACTTCATGTTGAAGTCCAACAAGGCCAAAGCCAACATGGGGGACCCCGGCCCGGCGGGGGAGGGGCTCAGCGGGGTCATCGACCTGCTGACCCTGGGGATCACCGGCCGGCAGGTGGACCTGGTGAAGCCCAGAGCCGAGCCCGACGACAAGAGAGGTGACAGAAACATGATGGAACAGTAATTCATTATTTGTGGGAATACCCTAAAAGTATATCATTTTCATTTCTATCAAAAAACTAAATACATAAAAAGACTAATAAATAAATGCATGATTTGAATAAATACTTACATTAAATAAATAATATTAAAGTAAAGAAACACGTATAAAGAAAGTTGATTTTTATATTTTATATAAATAAATAAAGTAATTAATAAATACAAATATTAACAAAATATACTATCGATAATATACAATGATAAATCAAATAAATGTATATACAAGAAAACTCAAACCCACATTTGATTGAGTAAATGTGGGTTAGAAGACGTACGTTCAACATGTTACTTAATTTGTGTTTCTTCCAAACAATTAAAATAATAAATACATAAAAAAACTATTTAATATTTAAACACTTAACTCAAATGAGATTCTAAACATGATCTGTATTAGAGTATTTTGATATTAACGATTTGGTTCTTAAGATCAAGATCATTCGCTCAGAGCTGAGTGATGCCAGCCTCTTCCTGAATGATTCATGATCAACTGGAAACATCTGGAACGATGTGATATCTTCTCTCTCTCCGCACACAGACCCAAACACAGTCTAAAGGCTAATGGAATTACATCCGGCTGCAACGTGTGTGTCGTGGTGCTCTCAACATGTGGCTGAGACTTTGTAGACTTAGTTAGTTAATGATGGTGGGGAGACGTCCGACCTGCTGCTTTAATGAACCTGTTGTTGTCCTCCTGCAGCGAGGAAGCACACCAAGCAGGACTCCACCATGAACGAGGAGTGGAAGAGCATGTTCGGGTCGCAGGAGCCCGCCTCCACCCAGCCGCCCACGGTAACATCACAGTCCTGCATACTTTCATACAGATTCGTATATTTGTTGGAAACGTTACTTCGATCTCTCTCTCTGGACACGCAAACTGAAAGATTGACTTTAAAGTTGTCTTCTTTCAAGATTCAAAGGTTTCATCAGATGCTCATGAGCTTCAGTGTAGAAACGGCCATGACATTCTTCTGACCTGAGCTCCTCCCACAATGCAACATATATAATAAAATACACAATAGTGCAACAAGTCTATATACTTGTTAGCAACGCTGCCAGTCCCGGAGCGTTGCTACAACATGCATTAAAACAAACATCAGGAACGATCAGGGAGTCACAGTCACCTGGTTCAACCTACTATGTCTTCTTTGTTGAGGACAACTTGAGTGCAGGAGGGAGATGTGTTTATGTTCCCAGAGGATTAACTTCGTCACCAGCTCTCAGACGCACACAGTCCGCCTTCTTACCATTATCTTTTACCGTCCTAAACTATGCACGTTCTGTCCTTGAAAGGAAAACACTGAGTGTCCTCTTCCAACATGAGAGTAGCATGCTAACAAAGGTATCAACTGGAGCTGTGAACATGACAGGATGTGTGATTACCTAGAAGAGCATCAGGACTGTTTGAGGCAGATGATAGCTATGTGATTAACATGATGATTCAGCCTCTATGGAGAGAGACATCAAGCATGCTCCTTTCTGACGTGGAGCTAATCTGAAGTAAACATTGAATACTGCTTTCTATTCCTCCATCTTGTGACTGTGTAACTCCCTCTCTTGGATATCAGCATGTGAAGGACACTGTTCAGGAACTAGTTGATGCTCTGTATGTGATGACTCCTTCCATTCTGGAGAGGATCACAGATACATGGATCCTGAGGCTGAAGCTCAAGCCGGTGACGAGGGATTACTAACATTTTTAAGTATTCAGAAAAAGTCATCATTTTTAGAAAAAGTCATAATTTTGAGATTTTTGTAGAAAAAGTCCAAAAAAAATTAAAAAGTCGGAATTTCGATATCTGGAGAACAAGTCACATTTTTGAGAAAGTCATATTTTTGAGAAAAAGTCATATTTTTGAGAAAGTCAATGTTCTTTGATTTTTTTTTTTTTAAAGTCAATTTTTTCAGATTTTTTTGAAAAAGTCAGAATTTTTTGGGATTTTGAGAAAAAGTCAGAAATTTGAGAAAAAGTCAGAAATTTGAAAAAAAGTCAGAATCTTTAGAGAAATTTGAGAAAAAGTCAGGATTTTTATTGAAGGACACTGCTCAGGAACTAGCTGATGCTCTGTGTGTGATGACTTCCATTCTTGCATCTTGTGATGAGGAACACAACCTTTCGAACTTCAGTATGGACTTTCTCATTGAAAACGCGTCGCAGCATAAAGCCAAGCTTAGCCTCTCGGCGACTCACATTTGTGTGTGTGTGTGTGTGAGCAGGCAGAGGGTCAGGTGAAGAAGAGCTCGGCTCCGCCCCCCGCTCTGGCGGCGGTTCAGAGTGGGCCGGCCTATCAGAGACGGCTGAACACCTGCAGGGTGGAGCTTCAGCAGCTGGTTCAGCAGAGGAGAGAGCAGAGCAGCGCTGAGAGGAAGCACAAGCACATGATGGAGAGCGCAGAGTGGGAGAGCAGACCCCCCCCTCCAGGTACACACACACACACACACACACACACACACACACACACACACACACACACACACACACACACACACACACACACACACACACACTGTACCTGTGAGTGATGCCTGTGTGTCTTACCTGTGTGTTTACCTATGTGTGTGTGTGTGTGTTACCTGTGTGTTACCTGTGTGTGTGTGTGTGTGTTCACCTGTGTGTTACCTGTGTGTGTGTTTACCTATGTGTTTACCTATGTGTGTGTGTTACCTGTGTGTGTGTGTGTGTTTACCTGTGTGTTACCTATGTGTGTGTGTGTGGTTACCTGTGTGTGTGTGTGTGTTTACCTGTGTGTTACCTGTGTGTGTGTTTACCTATGTGTGTACCTATGTGTGTGTGTTACCTGTGTGTGTGTGTGTGTGTGTGTTTACCTGTGTGTGTTACCTGTGTGTTTCAGGGTGGCACCCTAAGGGGCTGCTGGTGGCTCACCTTCACGAACACAAAGCGGCCGTGAACAGGATCAGAGTTTCCGACGAACACTCGATCTTCGCCACGGCCTCCAACGACGGCACCGTCAAAGTGTGGGACAGCCAGAAGATGGAGGGCAAGACCACCACCACCAGGTGAGGCTGGGACACACACACACGCTCACACACACACACACACACGCTCACTCACACACACACACGCGCACGCACACACACACACATACACACGCTCACACACACACACACACACACGCGCGCACACACACACACACACGGCCACACACACACGCACACACACACGCTCACACACACACACACACACACGCTCACACACACACACACACAGGCACACACACACACATACACACGCTCACACACACACACACACACGCACGCGCGCGTGCGCACACACGCACACACACAGGCACACACACACACACAGGCACACACACACAGGCACAGAAATGTTTATCGGGGCACTTTAAAGAGCTCAGGTGTTTATTAGTCCTATGCTAAACATGTGTATTATATCAACCGTGTGCAGGTACCTTTCAAAGTGCTGCTTTGTCTGAGCTACCAGAGTGGGACATTTTCTCAGCTGTTGTGTTCTCCTGCAGGTCGGTGCTGACGTACTCTCGTATCGGCGGTCACGTGAAGACGTTGACTTTCTGCCAGGGCTCTCATTACCTGGCCGTGGCCTCAGATAACGGATCCATCCAGCTGCTGGCAGTCGAGGCCAACAAACCCCCCAAATCCCCCAAAGTGCAGCCCTTCCAGACCAGGTACCTGAGCGATACATCACAGTCCAGCTGATGCTTTTAGCCTCAGCTTACAATATGTTCAATAAACCATGAAGATGCTAAGATCAGAACGTTAACTTCAAACTTCAAAGACAAAGAGTGATTCTTAATCAATTGAGAGCTGTGGATGAGTCATAAAACCAGAAATGACTCAGCATTTTATCACTTCCTGTCCACTGGTCTATAAGTCAAAAGTACTTCAGTAAATACCCCACTGGTGGATTTAAAAACGGAGGTTGCTAACAAGTGTCTAAATGAGACAACGAAACGTCATCAAGCCCAACATTAGCCTCCTTTAGCTTAGCGGTGGTGACGTGAAGTCATGTGACCGTGCTGTAGTTCCTTTATAGCCCAACGTTAGCCTCCTTTAGCTTAGCGGTGGTGACGTGAAGTCATGTGACCGTGCTGTAGTTCCTTTATAGCCCAACATTAGCATCCTTTAGCTTAGCGGTGGTGACGTGAAGTCATGTGACCTTGCTGTAGTTCCTTTATAGCCCAACATTAGCATCCTTTAGCTTAGCGGTGGTGACGTGAAGTCATGTGACCGTGCTGTAGTTCCTTTATAGCCCAACGTTAGCCTCCTTTAGCTTAGCGGTGGTGACGTGAAGTCATGTGACCGTGCTGTAGTTCCTTTATAGCCCAACATTAGCCTCCTTTAGCTTAGCGGTGTTGACGTGAAGTCATGTGACCGTGCTGTAGTTCCTTTGTAGCCCAACATTAGCCACCTTTAGCTTAGCGGTGGTGACGTGAAGTCATGTGACCGTGCTGTAGTTCCTTTGTAGCCCAACATTAGCCACCTTTAGCTTAGCGGTGGTGACGTGAAGTCATGTGACCGTGCTGTAGTTCCTTTTTAGCCCAACATTAGCCTCCTTTAGCTTAGCGGTGGTGACGTGAAGTCATGTGACCGTCCTGTAGTTCCTTTATAGCCCAACATTAGCCACCTTTAGCTTAGCGGTGGTGACGTGAAGTCATGTGACCGTGCTGTAGTTCCTTTATAGCCCAACATTAGCCACCTTTAGCTTAGCGGTGGTGACGTGAAGTCATGTGACCGTGCTGTAGTTCCTTTGTAGCCCAACATTAGCCTCCTTTAGCTTAGCGGTGGTGACGTGAAGTCATGTGACCGTGCTGTAGTTCCTTTATAGCCAAACATTAGCCTCCTTTAGCTTAGCGGTGGTGACGTGAAGTCATGTGACCGTGCTGTAGTTCCTTTATAGCCCAACATTAGCCGACCTTTAGCTTAGCGGTGGTGACGTGAAGTCATGTGACCGTGCTGTAGTTCCTTTATAGCCCAACATTAGCTGCCTTTAGCTTAGCGGTGGTGACGTGAAGTCATGTGACCGTGCTGTAGTTCCTTTATAGCCCAACATTAGCTGCCTTTAGCTTAGCGGTGGTGACGTGAAGTAAATAGTAAATATCAAAAACATTACGATTATTTCTGCAATAATCCAAAATCACATGGAGAAATCCCATTGGACCAGGTAGATGCTGCCTTCAGGGACAGGTGCAAAAATACCATTGTCAGGATCGACCAAATTAGAATCGAGTTTTTAACTAAGCAGTGTAATAAAGTATATATATAGATATATATGTCCTCTGGATGTTACTCACTGTGTGTGTGTGTGTGTGTGTGTGTGTGTGTGTGTGTGTGTGTGTGTGTGTGTGTGTGTGTGTGTGTGTGTGTGTGTGTGTGTGTGTGTGTGTGTGTGTGTGTGTGTGTGTGTGTGTGTGTGTGTGTGTGTGTGTGTGTGTGTGTGTGTGTGTGTGTGTGTGTGTGTGTGTGTGTGTGTGTGTGTGTGTGTGTGTGTGTCAGGGCTCTGGACCTGCAGGAGGACGGCTGTGCGGTGGACATCCATCACTTTAACTCCGGCGCTCAGTCGGTGTTAGCCTACGCGACGGTTAACGGCTCCCTGGTGGGCTGGGACCTCCGCTCCAACTCCAACGCCTGGACGCTGCGCCACGACCTCCGCCTCGGACTCATCACCTCCTTCACCGTCGACATGCACCAATGCTGGCTCTGCCTCGGTGTGTGTGTGTGTGTGTGCAGATATAATTCATTTATTCAAAAGAGTCCTCCCCAGGTTGATTGTCAGAGCAGGAGGTAAACCTAGAGGAGCATTACGCTGCTAGCAGACAACAACAGAGCTACAAGAAAGAGACTGTTGCTGTTTGGGTGTGTGAGTTTGTTTGGGTGTTTGTTTGGGTGTGTGTGAGTGTGTTTGGGTGTGTGTGTTTGGGGGTGTGTGAGTGTGTTTGGGGTGTGTGTGTGTGTGTTTGGGTGTGTGTTTGGGGGGTGTGTGTGTTGGGTGTGTGTTTGGGGGGGTGTGAGTGTGTTTGGGTGTGTGTTTGGGGGGTGTGAGTGTGTTTGGGTGTGTGTTTGGGGGGTGTGTGAGTGTGTTTGGGTGTGTGTTTGGGGTGTGTGTGTGTTTGTGTGTTTGGGGGGGTGTGTGTGTGTGTGTGTGTGTGTGTGTGTTTGGGGGTGTGTGTGTGTGTGTGTGTTTGGGGTGTGTGTGTGTGTGTGTGTGTGTGTTTGGGTGTGTTTTTGGGTGTGGGTATGTGTGTTTGTGTGTGTTTGAGTGTGTGTTTGGGTGTGTGAGTGTGTGTTTGGGTATGTTTGAGTGTGTGTTTGGGTGTGTGTTTGGGTGTGTGTGAGAGTTTGGGTGTGTGAGTGTGTGTTTGAGTGTGTTTGAGTGTGTGTTTGGGTGTGTTTGAGTGGGTGTTTGTGTGTGTGTGTGTGTGTGTGTGTGTGTTTAGCCTGTATTCCTATATCTGTAACGACCTATTTCAGCTTCAGACCAGGGCAGGCTGATGTGCATTAGGACTGTTACTCAAAATGTAATCGAATTCGCTATATGGAGTAATGCTAAATTCCCATCATAGACTGTATAGGGGCAGGACCTATCGGAGTACTTCCTGTAGTTAATCTCCCCACTTCCTGTTTCTTCCACAGGTACGAGCAGCGGCACCATGGCATGCTGGGATATGCGGTTCCAGCTGCCCATCTCTAACCACACCCACCCCGCCCGAGCACGAATCAGACGGCTGCTGATGCATCCTCTCTACCAGTCCTGGGTCATCGCAGGTGAGAGGAGCATCCGTCTGGATGTTTAGAATAATCAAGATGAAGTGTAAATCACTTTGTAAATAATGGCCCCGCCCACTTTCCAGTGAAAACAAAGAGCTGGCGCCTCAAAGCTGCTGTGGGCGTCAAACAATACAAAACACAACAGATTTTCTTTACCTTCAAACCTCTGAATCTGATTTGACCCCCAGTCACATGACGGCAAAGGTGTTCACCCAAAAAGGGGCGGGGCCATGACGTACAGGTTAACAGTGGGTTGGTGTCATGTAAACAGCAAAAGCCCTTTCATTGTCTCTCAGTGTGTAATTGTCTCACCCTGTGTGTGTGTGTGTGTGTGTGTGTGTGTGTGTGTGTGTGTGGGTGTGTGTGTGTGTGTGTGTGTGTGTGTGTGTGTGTGTGTGTGTGTGTGTGTGTGTGTGTGTGTGTGTGTGTGTGTGTGTGTGGTGTGTGTGTGTGTGTGTGTGTGTGTGTGTGTGTGTGTGTGTGTGTGTGTGTGTGTGTGTGTGTGTGTGTGTGTGTGTAGCTGTGCAGGGGAACAATGAAGTGTCGATGTGGGACATGGAGACGGGGGATCGTAAGTTCACCCTGTGGGCGAGCTCTGCTCCTCCACTGTCTGAGATGCAGGTAGGTGTGTGCGTGTGTGTGTGTGTGTTATTTGACTAAATGGATGTCAGTAGGTAAGAGAGTCCTCCTCAGGTTATCGATGGACACTTTCTAAGACATCAGCAGCTGAACATAGAGGAGCGTTTGGCTGCTAACGACATTTAGCTCAGGAGTAATAATAATGATATAAATAATGTAAATAAAAATACAGATTAAATAATAAAATAATAACAATAAGGATAATAATATAGATAAATAATTTAAAAAAATGTGTATTTAATGTATTCACACTGTGTGTGTGTGTGTGTGTGTGTGTGTGTGTGTGTGTGTGTGTGTGTGTGTGTGTGTGTGTGTGTGTGTGTGTGTGTGTGTGTGTGTGTGTGTGTGTGTGTGTGTGTGTGTGTGTGTGTGTGTGTGTGTGTGTGTGTGTGTGTGTGTGTGTGTGTGTGTGTGTGTGTCAGCCCTCTCCTCACAGTGTGCATGGGATCTACTGCAGCCCTGCTGATGGAAACCCTCTGCTGCTGACGGCTGGATCTGACATGAGGATCAGGTACAACAACAACAACAACAACGCTTTCACGCAACATAAAACTCTTTAAATCAAACAAACACTCAAACTAAATGTTCCCAACAATGTTTTATAAAAACCACTGAGGTCGACTGAAGCCCAGTAAACTTTCTCTACGTGTGTATCTGGCCTAAAATGTCATTTCAGATATAATGACAAACACTTACAGTTGCGGTGGTGACGTGAAGTCATGTGACCGTGCTGTAGGTCCTTTATAGCCCAACATTAGCCTCCTTTAGCTTAGCGGTAGTGACGTGAAGTCATGTGACCGTGCTGTAGTTCCTTTATAGCCCAACATTAGCCTCCTTTAGCTTAGCGGTGGTGACCTGAAGTCATGTGACCGTGCTGTAGTTCCTTTATAGCCCAACATTAGCCTCCTTTAGCTTAGCGGTGGTGACTTGAAGTCATGTGACCGTGCTGTAGTTCCTTTATAGCCCAACGTTAGCCACCTTTAGCTTAGCGGTAGTGACGTGAAGTCATGTGACCGTGCTGTAGTTCCTTTATAGCCCAACATTAGCCGCCTTTAGCTTAGCGGTGGTGACGTGAAGTCATGTGACCGTGCTGTAGTTCCTTTATAGCCCAACATTAGCCGCCTTTAGCTTAGCGGTGGTGGCGTGAAGTCATGTGACCGTGCTGTAGTTCCTTTATAGCCCAACATTAGCCACCTTTAGCTTAGCGGTGGTGACGTGAAGTCATGTGACCGTGCTGTAGTTCCTTTATAGCCCAACATTAGCCACCTTTAGCTTAGGGGTGGTGACTTGAAGTCATGTGACCGTGCTGTAGTTCCTTTATAGCCCAACATTAGCCACCTTTAGCTTAGGGGTGGTGACTTGAAGTCATGTGACCGTGCTGTAGTTCCTTTATTGCCCAACATTAGCCGCATTTAGCTTAGCGGTGGTGACGTGAAGTCATGTGACCGTGCTGTAGTTCCTTTATAGCCCAACATTAGCCACCTTTAGCTTAGGGGTGGTGACTTGAAGTCATGTGACCGTGCTGTAGTTCTTTTATAGCCGAACATTAGCCGCATTTAGCTTAGCGGTGGTGACGTGAAGTCATGTGACCGTGCTGTAGTTCCTTTATAGCCCAACATTAGCCACCTTTAGCTTAGCGATGGTGACGTGAAGTCATGTGACCGTGCTGTAGTTCCTTTATAGCCCAACATTAGCCACCTTTAGCTTAGCAGTGGTGACATGAAGTCATGTGACCGTGCTGTAGTTCCTTTATAGCCCAACATTAGCCACCTTTAGCTTAGCGGTGGTGACGTGAAGTCATGTGACCGTGCTGTAGTTCCTTTATAGCCCAACATTAGCCACCTTTAGCTTAGGGGTGGTGACTTGAAGTCATGTGACCGTGCTGTAGTTCCTTTATAGCCCAACATTAGCCACCTTTAGCTTAGGGGTGGTGACTTGAAGTCATGTGACCGTGCTGTAGTTCTTTTATAGCCCAACATTAGCCGCATTTAGCTTAGCGGTGGTGACGTGAAGTCATGTGACCGTGCTGTAGTTCCTTTATAGCCCAACATTAGCCACCTTTAGCTTAGCGATGGTGACGTGAAGTCATGTGACCGTGCTGTAGTTCCTTTATAGCCCAACATTAGCCACCTTTAGCTTAGCAGTGGTGACATGAAGTCATGTGACCGTGCTGTAGTTCCTTTATAGCCCAACATTAGCCACCTTTAGCTTAGCGGTGGTGACGTGAAGTCATGTGACCGTGCAGTAGTTCCTTTAAATAATGATAATAACGTGTGTGTGTGTGTGTGTGTGCAGGTTCTGGGACCTGGTGTACCCTGAGAGGTCGTACATCGTGGCGGGGGGGGCTAACGACTCCCTGCACTGTCCCTCTGTGATGTACAGCAGGAAGATCATCGAGGGCACCGAAGTGGTTCAGGTGAGCACACACACACACACACATATCAGAAGTGATTGTGTTCATTTCTTCATGGACGCCTTGCCACGTCAAACAGACAGAAGAAAAGACGGACAGACTCACACACTTTGTCACACTTGCGCTCCTATTGGCTAATGCTCCAACACATTTATTGGTTTATATTTATTTTATTATTATTTTCTCTTCAGGAGATCCACAGTAAGCAGAAGAGCGGCGTGTTGGAGGACACCCCCCGCCGCGGACCAGACTCACTTCCTGTTGGTCACCATGACATTGTGACGGACATCGCCACCTTCCAGACCACGCAGGGCTTCATCGTCACCGCCTCCAGGGACGGCATCGTCAAAGTGTGGAAGTGACACTCACACACACACACACACACACACACACACACACACACACACACACACACACACACACACACACACACACACACACACACACACACACACCGGATACGTGTCAGTGGACGCCAACATTAGCTTGTTATGATCTGAATGAATTTCCTCCCGTTGCAGCGTCTCTCCTCTCATTGGCTGCTGCTGATGCTGTTTATAACTTCCTGTGTTATCACCCAATCACGTCTCTGCCTCGCTTTATGCATTAGTGCTCTATAAATGCTTAATCTGACACTCTTTAAATGACACACAAAGGATCACAATCAGGAAGCTTTAGTCAATTAAGAACATTATTTAGAGACAAGGACATCAAATGAAAGGAGGTGTCACTGATAGGCTGCAGATAAAGATTAGATTGTATAGTTAGTATTATTGTTTACCTACTTGTTGTCCTTCATAAACAACACAATCCCTTCAGCCAGGCACCATAAACACATTTCTTTAGATCCATATTGGATATTCAAAAGCAAATCCTTGGTGTCAGCACGATAGTGATATTCATCGAGCACAAATGATGTAATTTGAGCGGAAACATGACATAGTTTTGGGCTAAAGACGTGTGACCCGAACAGATCCACAGTGCGACACTTTGTCTCTCGTTAACAACAAATCCACTTTAAAGCGTTCAGACGTGACCCCTTTAATAACCCCTCGTTGTGTACATATACGTTATTTTAAATCTTGAGTAATATAAAGTTTGATTTGTACAAATATCCCATGATGCATTGTGTTGCTGCATCTCAATGTGTGTCCATCTGTTGAATAAAACATCTGATATCATTTCTCCTCGTGTTTCTGATCGTTTCCCTCAGAAGGATTAGCATGTGATTGTGAATTAAAAAAGGGAGCTGTCTGTATCTGTAGCAGAGGTGTGGACTCGAGTCACATGACTTGGACTCGAGTCACATGACTTGGTCCCACCTCTGATATGTAATGTCTGTATGTGTTTTATCATCTGTGTATTTATGTTTGAAGACCCTCGCTACATGCTATATTTCAGGGGGCTACCCTTCAATACCAGTGGTGAGCCGTGACTTGTATACCTAGGCCCTCTGACCCCCACCCCTTCCCTCGAGTTATTACGTCACAGCGTATACTTCAGCGGAATATCAAAACAACGGCCCGGGGTGCAAAACGCATCAATGAAAGCGACCCTCTACCACACAGAACAACACCTGTAAATAACCCTATTTGTGTTCTTTGAAAATGAAAAGGATATTGCATTGTGTTTGTTACTTTCGTTGCAGTTGTATGTCTTAAGTGTAATTTGGCATGCTTTTATTTTGAAGGCGAGTTAACAAAATAACTCCTGTTGACAGGAAGTTGTTGTTGTTATGGAAACAAGAAAAGTTTCACAGCGGGCGGAACTTGTCATAAAGTCCGCGATAATAACACCCACCCATTTAGAGGGAAGATATGATTGGTCAATTGTACCGTCATTTGACATTACTCTCTCGTTCAGTTACTATAGCTGGCCCTCTGTGAGTTCTAGCTGGACCGCCTGGACGTCCAACAGCTCCTCTCTTCACAGACTCGCAGAGACGAGCTTCTTTCATTTAACCCTTCACATTCCAACAGAAACTGAACAGGCAGATTCGATCGATTTATTTCTTTGGAAATGTTATTTTAAATACAATTAAATCAAGTTATTTTGGTAAAACTAATGAAAAATATAACTAAAAATTTTTTTTTCAATTATTATTTTTTTTATTAATGTTTTTAAATATTATTTTGTAGAATATCTTAGGACCTCACAGAGGGCCTAGACTAGGGCCCTGGCGGCTCGCCACTGTTCAATACATGTTCAAATCCAGCTTAAGGTCTTCATCATTTAAAAACACAACATTTAAATCCTAAAATGACAGAATCACGATGTCCAGCTCACTTCCTGTTTGTCTCTCAGCAGCTGATCAGTTATTTAAAGAAACACGTGGAGCTCGTTTACATAAAAACACTTTATTGTATTTTCTGAAGCGACCCCTTCAAACACACGTTTCTCCATCGGACCAGCGGCTGATGGAGAGAGCACCTGATGTGAAGAACAGTCTGGCAGTTCTACCCTAAAGCTCTATTGCAAAATGGTGATAAAATAAAACAAAGAATTAACTTCCTGCTCACTCAGAAGCACTTTGCTTTTTGGGAACGTTTAAACTTTCCCTGAAGGTGTTTTTAGTTTCGTTTTAAAGTCCCACAACAACATTTCTGAAGTCATTCATTAAGTCTCTAAGTCTCTATTCTGTGATCTCCTCCTCTTCTTCCTCCTCCTCCTCGTCCTCCTCACCGGCTCTTCGTCAGGCAGAGGTTCTCGCACTCGTCCTGTGTGGTGAAGCGGTTTTTGTTTCCTCCGCAGCCTCCGAACCAGAATCGCGCACACTCGCTCTGCTCCGAGTCGAAGAACCACATCATGGTGTAGTTACTGCAGATACCCACGTCCTGCTGCTGGAAACAGCTGTCTGCAGGGGGACACATTACAGCGTTACACTCAGGAGGCGGACACATTACAGCGTTACACTCGGGAGGGGGACACGTTACAGCGTTACACTCAGGAGGGGGACACGTTACAGCGTTACACTCAGGACGGGGACACGTTACAGCGTTACACTCAGGAGGGGGACACATTACAGCGTTACACTCAGGAGGCGGACACGTTACAGCGTTAAACTCAGGAGGGGGACACATTACAGCGTTACACTCAGGAGGCGGACACGTTACAGCGTTACACTCAGGAGGGGGACACGTTACAGCGTTACACTCAGGAGGGGGACACATTACAGCGTTACACTCAGGAGGGGGACACATTACAGCGTTAGACTCTGCAGGGGGACACGTTACAGCGTTACACTCAGGAGGGGGACACATTACAGCGTTACACTCAGGAGGGGGACACGGTACAGCGTTACACTATACTGTCTGCAGGGGGACACATTAAAGCGCTACACTCTGCATGGGACACATTACAGCGTTACACTCAGGAGGGGGACACGTTACAGCGTTACACATATTTTCATATGTAATTCAAATTGAAAAACACTTGTAGGCCTATGGTTCTTTACAACGTTAAAAAAAAAGAAGGTTTTTACCTTTGGAGCCGAAACTGGCCAACTCCGGCTGAGGGAGGATGTTCGGATCTGTGTGAGGACACACACACACACACACACACACACACACACACACACACACACACACACACACACACACACACACACACACACACACACACACACACACACACACACACACACACACACACAGTGAGTATAATTTGTGTTTGCAGCCTCTAAATGCTGCACGTATTAGACCTTGAGTTTAGTTCCTGTACTTGTGGTACTCATTACATCAAGCTACTGAGCCAGGCTCTCATTATTGAAGAAAGCACTTATATAATCCACCATACCCACTGCTAGAGTGTACACGTGTGTTATGCCTGACATATATTCATATCGTCCTACAGGTTTGATCCCCCTCTACAGTATTTACACATTTATCTTATTCTTGCAATCTACCCGCACCAATATTTCTGTTGCAGCTTTTCTATTTGTGTGTTAAATGTGTTGCATGATGCGTTGTTGGGGGACGAGGGCTTGTGCCGTTGTGCAAATGAAAATAAAGCTGATTATTCAGTTGCCTTCTTCCATCCAGCAGAAGTGAGCAGAGATCAGAACAACGTGGTTCAGACGAGGCGTTGTTAATGTCAAACATCTTGTCAATACAAAACAAATGGAAAATCTTCAGTTGTTGAAAAGTCATGGTGTAATAATTAAAAAGCCATTATAAGTGATTGTCTATCAAAAAAATCATAAAAGGCGTAGTACAGTATAAAAAAGTCAGTCATAGGTAAAAGAAAAGTATAAAATTGAAGTTGGACTCATAGTATGTTTGAAAAAGAATATGTTGGCATGAAGAGAGGTGGTCCACACACACTGTCAGAAGTAGAATGTAAAAAGAGTCAAAGAAGTTGTTACAAATCATAACAAGCAGTAAAGAATGTAACTTTTCTTAATTAAAGGTCAAAAAGTCAAAGTTTGTCAAAACAATCTTAAAAAGTCCATAAAATAGGTCCAAAATGTTTATAAAAAGACAAGAAAGGTTATTGTCTGTCAAGTGATGGAATGGTATGTTTAAAGTCATAATGTCAACAAATCAAAGTACAGTAAAAAGAAAAAAGTCAGTCAAGTGTTCAACAACAAAGTACTCTGAATACCAATATGATGCATGAGGCGTTCCACACACGCTGTCAGCAGGACTTACGCTGGCCACACGTCCGCAAACACTCATGCTCCGAGCTAAAGCGGTTAGCGTTACCGTGGCAACCGCCGTACCAGAAGGGAGCGCATGCAGCGAGCCGCGGGTCAAAGAACCAGCGCCGGACTGAGTCCTCACACTGAGAGCCAGCGTCAGCCTGTAGCCGACACCGGGCTGCAAGAAACACACACATTCAACACACACACACAACATCCTGCACGACACATGCAGCCGTGCACGCTTTAAATGACTCTTAAAGGTCTCCTATTATATATTTGAACAATATATTATAGGGCCAAATATATACAAAAAAAAGTGTTTTGCTCAAAATACCAAACAGACCATTGCAGCATCCCATAATCCCCTCTGTTTCAGCCCTGTTTCAAAAGTGCTGATTCTGGGTCTGGCCCTTTAAATATAACCCGAGCTGCTGTGACCCCGCCCCTTTGGTGCTGCTATGGCCACGCCCCTTTGGAGCTGCTTCTGGTCACACCCCTTTGGATTATGCATGAGCTCTCCTCATTCAGGAGAACTCTCCCAGCAGAAACTCAGCTAAATGCTGCCGTGATGAAACTCCACATCATGTTCCAGACCACATCAAGGATTCTCTCTGAAACAGGATGGATGGATGGATGGATGGATGGATGGATCTCTCTCTCTCTCTCTCTCTCTCTCTCTCTCTCTCGATATAACAAAGAAAGTGTTAAAAAGTAGAACATCTGACATGAAGACGAGATGCGTGCAGTGTGCGCAGTTAATTCAGCCGTATTGAACATGCAATCAGTAAATCTGTTAGAAACTGAACTGCAGGTTTTAGTTGAATGAACTTCTACTGACCGGGAACTTTTGAGTCCTTTGTGATGGTTCATAAGTACTTTATTATAATGCTGTATATATAGGCATTAGGGCTGAACGATATATCGTGTCATGGCGATAACCGCGATATGCGCATGCGCGATATTCCAATATACCAATCACAATCATTCTTGATCAGATCCCAGCAGGCCCCGCCCCGCTAGTTTGCAGACCATCAAAACACCGGTAAAAAATGAGCGAGGCACAGGAGGACAATACCGGCGAGAATGAAGATTTACTTCCAAAAAGAAAAGCAACATCTGCCATCTGGAAGTATTTTGGATCCAAAAAGGTTCTTCTCTTCTTCATTCACAGATTATTTGAGGGGAAGCAACACGCATTATGATGACATGTTAGATCATGACTTAAGGTACGATGAGTCAACCAGTTAAGATCCAGACGTCCGTGACTCAAATCTTTCATCCGGTTAAATATAGTTAAAAAAACGCAATAAATATCGCAGGGCAAAAAAATATATCGCAATGTCAGTTTTTTTCAATATCGTGCAGCCCTACTAGGCATTTTCATTCTGGCAAGGCATCAGGGTTGAGTATTTTTATAATATGATGCAGTAATTATGTTTCATAAAAACTGGCGTATGCCTAATAATAATAATTTCTAAAAGTGTCATAGTATAGTATGTCATAAAAAAGTATTAAAAGTCATAGTTTAGTATGTCAAAACA